GACCGTTCGATGGGGCAGAGGATGCGCCATGACCATGTCCATGTCCGTTTCCGCTGTCCGCACACCGGAAGCGGCGGCCAGCTATCGATGCCGCGCTCCGCTTCCGCTTCCTTGCTTCGCCTGGCATGATTTCACATTAATTTCGCCTGCGTATGCAAATACAATTCCAAACAAATCGAATTAATTTAATACGAGATTTTGATTTGGTTTTTGCCAAATGCTAAATGTATATATTTTTCCCCTGTTTGGCAATGTTCGGGCATTAACTTAATTGCATTTAAATTGAAAATATCGCAAGTGCATTGCGAGCGAGTTTTAATTAAAACGAAAATAAATAATCAATCGCTGGATGTGGAGCATTGAAAAACAGAAAGCTTGAATATTTACCTTTTATGTTGCAGACAAAGAAAAGATTTAAAACTTTTGGAATAAAATAAAAGTCCATAAAATATTTTCTTAAAATATAAATGGAGTTTTATAAAAATAGTTTGTTTTAGGCAGCAGTTAAATATTTCTTATGTAAATGTTTTTAGCGTATCTTAAAATTTCAAAAATGTATTTAAAGTCTGTCTATTATATTTTTCTATATATAACATATACCACTTTAATCGCTTCCTATAAGGACTCTGCCCTTGGAGAAACATGGTCCGGTTCATTCATCATACTCAACTGCTAATGAGCTTCGCTCCACATATAGCTGCCACCTCTTGCTCCTCCTCCTCCTTCTCCTCTCGGCGGCCTGTCAAAACGCAATTTGATTATTAGATGCCATCGTGGCGACCGTCTGAAATTCCATCCAATCGAATGGGCTGCTGCTCCGCGATAAAGGTGTGTTAGGGCTGCCAATCGATAAGCGTCGAAGCCCTGAAGCGCCTTCGCCGAAGCGCCCTCCTTCCTGCACATCAGTCACTGTCACCGAACCAACCGCAAATGGCCAACCTCCATGGTCCCACATCCAGTTCCGATCCCACCCACTGCCCACTCACCCCATGCCCATGCCGAAGCGTGATTAATGCGTTGACGTTGCAGCTAAGCTCGCTGTTGCCCGGCCATCAGCGGCAGATACAGGCCAAGATATCGGACAAAAAACGTATGGCCATGGCTCTTCAGATAGTGCCCCGGCCAAGTCCTGCGCCGATTTGTAATGTTTTGATTGCCTGAGACGCGTGGCAGGACTTTTGGTCCAAGGACACGTGCCCGCATTTGCGAGCGTAAGGTTTCGCGGATTAATTTCAATTTGTGAAAAGAGGGTGGAGCTTTTGCTGCTAATTATGTGTGGAATGTTTTGGATAAACACAATGCATCGAGGAACAGGAAAAGGGGCAGGCACAGGAACGAAGACAGGGACTGCAGCATAAAAAGGACAACCAGGCCAAAGGCGGCCACTTGCCAGTGGGTGTTGGTGTTGGCATCGCTTGATGCTCCTGCTGCTGATGTTGCCGGCCTAATCCGTAAGTGTCGTTCTCAAGCACGCAACAGCGGCAGGCGCTGATAGAGCACACACATACACACCCGGAACCCGGACAAAGGAGGAGGACCCTGGACTATGGACTCCAAGCCTGCCGCCTGCCTTCCCGCCCGGCTCATAATGATGTGGCGCTGTTGCTGTCGCTGTCGCTGTCGACATCGACGTGTCATCGACGACCGGCAATGGTTTTGGGCGGGGTCCGCAGCCAGCCTGTTGGTCAGAGATAACAGCAATTTATTTTCAAGTCATCATTTTAATTATCCCGTTCGCCGGCACTGGCAATGGAAATGCTGGCAACCTTGCGACTGAGCTGGGCGCGGCTCGCATTAAACGTGACAACCAACAGCAACAACCAACGCTCGACGGCCGCCATTTTGCTCATTAAAATATAATATGTATTTTTTAATTTCACAGAAATGTTTGCACAAAAATTTTCTCGAAACAAAGTTGAGAGAGAGCGACGATGCCGTTGTCTCCCACCATTTTCATTTTTCCTTTCTGGCCCGGCCTCGTACATTTCCATCTTTTATTCCATGTCTGTCTCCGGCTGCAGCCCAAAAAATCCTTTTTTCTTTTTTTTCCCCTTGTTATATTCTTTTTTTTGCGTTTTCCATTTGCCTAACCAGGACTAACCCCAAAGCAGCTCCACCCTCGCCTCGCCCGCCTTCGGAAACTTCAACCCATCCGCCATCATGCGTTTTTATAACCGGAAGCGTTCATGAGAAAGTTTCCGCTTTCATAACCGAATTTTAATTAACTTTCGAAAACCTAATTACAAAGTATTATTATAATGAAAAAGCAGTGCACAAAGCGAGTAGAGTGGAGAGGCGCCGTGAGGCGGGTCCCCGGTCCGGGTCTGGAGTCCGGGTCCATGGGGGTCTCCACGTAGAGAGCAAGCAGGCAGCCAACCGAGCGAGTGCTGCCCCTGCAGCGACATCCACGACTTCATCCTCCAAGCTGCGTGTTTGTTACACCGAAAAAAAACAAGAAAACTATACAAATTTAAGGATATTTAATGTTGTATTAACACCTAGAAATTAATATACTTCACGGAAAGAGATCATTGAGTTGCAGTTTCCCTAGGATTGATTTCTATATTGCAAAATGTACTTTCTTTCAGTGCATGTTCGCTGTCTTTGAGTGCCTTCGTGCTCCGGAAATCTGAAGAGGAGAGGAGTATGGAGGTCGCAGGATAGCAAAGGCACTACTTCCTGTGTATCCATCCGGCATAAGCTCAGGAAAAAAGGGTTGCCCGACCACTTTTTCAGCGCCAACCGGCAGGAGCATCTCCTCCGCTTTGTGTGTGCCCAACTCTGGCTGTGTCTCGTTTTAAAATTAAATATTCCATTAGAAAATTACTACAAGATTGTGGTTCTTTATTAGCAGCAGTAACAGCAGCCAGCTGGCTGGCTGGCTGGGATAGAGACTCAACCAAATCCAACTTTGTTGCCCGCAAAAACCGAGCTGAAGCTGAAATTGGTCTGTTATATAAAATTGCCAAAAATGGCTACAAACTTCCTTGCCAATTTAAAACTTAATATTTTTCAGGCTTAGTAAATAATAGATTTTTTTGGGGGGAAAAGCGGCAGACATGCAATGATGATGATCATCAATTTTTAATAACCAAAATGTCATGACAATTTTTTCCTATTTGCCAATTTTCTAATGGTTTTGTTTTCCCTCTAGTTGGGAAAGTTGTGTTCAGCTTAACTTGTTTGTGGAAATGGAATTTTAAATTTGTTCCCGAATAATGACAAATTGATGGCGGGGCATTTATGAATAGATATAGGGAATACTACGGCCGGGCCTTGTCTAGAAAGCTCAACAAACTCTGGGGGTCCCCTGCCTCGAACGGCGTCTTCAACGCGCATGTCTGGCATTAAGGCATCGATATATAATACTTTGAGGGGTCGAGTGGGTGGTTGCGACGACCAGTTGGGGGTTGGGTGGTTGTGTCTGTGGAGGAAACAACCCCAAAACACAGATTTTCTAAGCCAGCCACGATGGGGTTGTTTGCCAGGCGGGTTGAAATGAAGAAACTCCGCCAGAACAAGAACGCTCACTGACTGACAGTCACAATGTCAAGGAAAAATCGAAATTGAAGCGACAACAAACCAAACGCCATTTTGCTCTACCTCCCAGACCGAGTCCCAGGCCCAGGCCCAGTCCCAGTTCCAGACCCAGTTGCGGTTCCAGCTCCTCCAAACCCTCACGCCCGGGGACAACAAAGCGAGCTCTTTATGGAACAGCAGGCTATAAAAAATGTATTAAAGCCAGTCGCCCCCACATGCACATGTATAAATAAAATGTCGCCCATAGAATATATAGAAATGGTGACCTTCCCGCTTAATTAAAAAACACAACAGCTTGTCAAACATGTCCCCAGCCGGGCTCTGGAGATAAGTGAATCGTTGGCGGGCAAAAAAATGTTAATGCCCACGGAATGTCCGAGGAGAAGCGCTCCTCCAAAGTGAATCACACCGATGTTAATCAACGGTGCAAAGGGTTCTGGTTAACTGTCATTACCTACGCCGTTGAGGGGGAATTGCGTCGGATCAGGCTGTTTATATGGCACAGATAAGGGACTCGATAGGGAACGTACTCGTACTTGCACTCGTACTGCTCCATGAATATTACTAGAAAGCAAACAGAACGAAAGGGAGCTGGGCTGAGCTCTCGCCGGGTCTTGGGAAGAGGGAACTGGTATTGGTACTGGGATAGGTGACAGGGTTGGGCTGGGCCTGAGATGGGTTAGTCAGTATGTCAGGTCCTGGTTGTTTACCTTCTTTCCATTCCGTTGCAATTTATGAGTGCACCGCGATAAGGGTTTATCATCATCGGGCAGCCGGGGGATCGCGGATCGGGATCGGGTATCGGGTATCGCGGGGTATCGGTGAAAAAACTGCACTCTGCATCCGAGTGACAGCGATAAGATAGCGTCTCCTGGAACTACCAGGCTATCGGTCGTTCAATTCGCTGCATCGGAGATATAGCCAGTTGATACTCGACAGATAGGCCAGACCAATCAATATAGAAATGATTGTTGGAGGTCAGTTGTTTGTGTCAACAATGGTGGCACTCTTCGATGGCTGATTGCTGGCAAATGAAAACTAATTTATGCTTTTTTTCCTTTTTTTCTTGTATTTCAAACATTAAAATAGTCGATTTGTTGTATTTTTTAATAATATTAATTTTAACTAGCTTTAGAGTTGGATTTGAATTCTTGCATTGACATTTATTGAATTTTTATATTGTGTATTTTACATTAATTTTCATGTTTGTGTTTATATTTAGACTATTTTTTTTTGTTTTGTTATCAAGTTTAATTAATTAGCTTAGCTCAATGTAAAAATGGTTCATTCGCTTTTTGTGTTTTTTTTTACGCTTGCTTTGTTGCTTTTTGTTTACGCACAATATAACTAATATTAAAAATTATTGAATAATAATTGCAGTTTTTTTCGCTTTTATGTGGCGTTGGTTTTCCATTTTTTCTGTGTTTCGCTTTCATTATTTATGCTAATTAAATGTTAAATGCTATACAATATTTATATTTATATTATATTTATTTTCATGTGGTTTTGTGGCATAATTTCATACAATTTGATTAATTCTCGAGTTAGTTAAAAGTGGCTGCTTGCAATTGGGCTCATTATGTTAGTTACTATGTTGGGGTTCCGCTTAGAGATATCTATTTATAGACTATGTACAAAATGCCTTAGACTAACGAATTCGTACAACAACTGAAGACACACACAGAATGTAAATGAAATGCTGGCTTATCGGCGTATATATATAAAAATGATAAATTATATAGTATAAGAACGACGTTTCCTATATATGCATGGCCAGATTTTTGTTGCTTTGATAGTTTTGAAGATTCTTAGGGTTTTTTGCTGGTAGTTTTCTTCTTTTAGCTGATTACGATGATTTAGTTTGTAGAATTTTTTGGTTTTTGATCATTTGCGATTCGAATTCGATTGCGTTTGCGATTGCAATTGCATTTGGATAAAGTTTTTTTTTGTATTTGTATCTCTCCTTTTGGGATTGTTTTTAGTTAGGCTTTGAAAGGACATTACACAGGATCCCTATCGCTCTTCCTCACTCTCTTCCTCACTATTGGTGATACATTTAAAATGCTTTAAATTTTTAGTTTTAACCGCTTTGATTGTTATTGCTTGTTTCGAAACAACGAAAACAAATGGCACGGAATTATTATTTTTGTGTTTGTATATTAGCAAAACATAAAAATGTTAACAAAAGTTCTGCTGCACTTACAACTACATCACTTTTTCTTTCGATTCTCGAATAACCCCCACAGAAGGGCTTGGTCCTAGAGATAGAGTCCTGCCTGAATCCACAAAATAGAGATTATACCCCACGGAATGCAAAGTATCTATGGATATTTACAAATTTTCTAGATGCTTAAATTTCGTCAAATAGGATTAAAAAGTTTAAATTCATATCCTTGAAACATTATAAAAGATACTCTGAATCTCTGCAGGCCTAATCGATCTCTACCTTTGTGGATTCAATCCGAACTCTAACCCGAACCTCGATCGCTCTATGTACAGGTGCGAGGCGGCCAACTCACGTGCTCAAAGGATGCGCTCAGGTGCTAAAAGCCGCTGGCACGCCACTCGCTAATTGGCGGGCGGACGGATGGAGGAGATGGCGATACCACTCCGCTCCCGCTCTCGCTCCCACTCCCGCTCCAAGGGCCAGCTTGGGGGCTACAGCTACAGCAGGTTCTGCAGGGCGGCGGCTCCGTTAAAGGTGAGGCTGTGATTCCAATTCCGGTAGCCGGCCGCCGCGGCGTACTGCTGGTAGTTGTTGTACAACTGCTGCTGCGCCGCCTGGTGCTGCTGCAGTTGCTCCTCGCTTAGGTCGCTGGTGATGTTCGAGGAGTCCTCCTGCAACTCCGCCGCCAGCTGGCTGTGCAGCAATTGCTGCTGTTGCTGCTGGTGTTGCTGCTGCTGCTGTTGTTGCTGTTGTTGATGCTGCTGCTGCTGTTGTTGCTGCTGCTGCTGCTGTTGTTGGATTAGCTTCTGGGTGTAGCTGGAGCCACCTGATCCTGATCCGGAACCGGATGCAGAACCAGAGCCTGAGCCGGAGCCTGAGCCCCCCGATCCTGAGCCCGATCCCGCCTTGCCGCTGGCCTTGGCTGCCGCTGATGTGGTGTTTGAAGCGGATGTCAGTTGCTGCGCCGCCTGCTGCAGCTGCTGCGCCTGCTGCTGCTGCTGCTGTTGCTGCTGCTGCGCCTGCTGCAGCTGGTGCTGCTGCTGCTGGTGGTGGTGCTGCTGCTGCTGCAAGTGCTGTTGCTGCTGCGAGCGCAGCATCTGCTCCGCGCGTCCTTAAGCCAGCGGGTACTGGTGGTGTCACAAGCTCGTGGTGCCGGCGGGCGCATGGTAGCCGAGGCTCTGGTAGTAGGAGTCCTGGCCTAAGGCAGCGTGTGTGTTGGTCAGCGGACTGAGGGCGTTGTAGCCGGCGTACTGGCTCATGTCGTACATCTTGATGTCCGCCTTCGACTCCGTGGGCAGCAGGCGGTTGATGGAGAACGGGTGGCTGGAGGGTGTGTAGCCGGAAGGCTCCTGCTTCAGCGGGTGCATCGACGAGTGATAGTCGCTGATCAGCGACGGGTGGCACCTATTCGCCATCATTGCCGACAGCTCCTCCTGCTGCAGCTGATGGTGCTGGTGGTGATGGTGCGTGGGCACATGCTGTGGCTGCTGGCTGAGGCACAGCTCCGCATTGGCATGCAGCATGGCCAGTGCCTCCGCGTCCTTGCTATGTGCCGCGCTCAGCACGTTCACTCCCACTCCCACACCAACTCCCACACCAGGGATTGAGGAGCCGCCCGCGTCCTTGTGATGCTGATGATGATCCAAGCGACTGTGGTGGTGATGGTGCATGTGATGCGAATCCTCGTGATCCTTCTTGCCCGGACTGGTCGCCTCCAGGCTGCTGTGCGACGGACTCTTGTGCAGCTGCCTGATGGCTTCCTTCTTCTCGTCCTTGAAGCGCTTCTGTCGTCGCAGATAGCAGCCGTTCTCGAACATATTCCCCGAATCCGGGTGCAGGGTCCAGAAGGAGCCCTTGCCAGGCTTGTCCGGCGTCCGCGGGATCTTCACGAAGCAATCGTTAAAGCTCAGTGAGTGCCGGATGGAGTTCTGCCAGCGCTGCTGGTTCTGCCTGTAGAAGGGAAACAGGTCCATGATGAACTGGTAGATCTCGGAGAGCGTCAGCATCCGCGTCGGGTTGTTCTGGATGGCCATCGTGATCAGCGAGATGTAGCTGTACGGCGGCTTGGCGTGCGTGTAGCTCCTGCGGTAGGTGGTGGGCTTATCTACTCGTGATCTCCCAAGAGAGTTGGGCGATCCCGTTTCCATGTCCCGCGATCCCGTCGGCATGCCTCCATAGGTGGCATTCAATCCTGCCGCCGACATACTGGCCGCTGACATGGCCATGCATCCGCTCATGTTGCCAAGCGGCGAACCCATGCTAGCGTAGCTCATCGAGCTGGGGGTCATGCAGTTGCCACCCATGGAGTTCATGGCCGCGGCACCCATACTGCCACTCATGCTGGCCACAGCCGCTGCCGAGTCCAAGACGCTGGATCCAAAGGTGGCTGCCGCCTGGGGCGACACCGAGGACATTCCGCCCACCGGCAATCCCATGCTGTTCATCGTGTAGGCGGATCTGGCCAGGGGGCTCATGCTGCCGCCGCCATTGCTTGTGGGATTTGGATTGTTTTGACCGCCGGGTGGAGGTGGTCCTCCTCCGCCACCGCCGCCGCCACCCGACGCAGGACCGCCGGAGCTGGCCATGCTCACGGGAGCACTGCTGGGCGGCGGCTCCGCGTAGAGCTTCTGCATGATGTCAATGGTGGTCTGGTGGGGGCTACCCTTCAGGAAGCTGTTCAATAGTTGCGCCGTTATGTTGCCGGCTTGGGGACTCTGTACCGATGGAAAAGGCAACGCGTGCGGGGGACGCGTTAGTAAAAAGGAAAATCAAAAGAGGGTCCTTTGTGGCTTTGGCTATTTGATTTTGTTTGGTTTTCTTTCGTTTTGTTTTGTTTTATTTGTTTCTTTCAGTGCACTATCACTGCTTCAATGGTTTCGCATATTTGGGGCATTCTGGCCTCTAGCACTGTCACTGTCACTGTTGGTAGTTGCTAGTTGGTGGTATTAGACAGTTGGTTGTGGGTTGTTCTGGGCTTTGTTTGTGCACTTAAAACACTGGGCACTGGCCTTAATTTATTTGTGTGTTGCCGCCGTTAAATAACGTGGCAAATATGGCTCTATTTTCGTTACGATTCAGCTGCCGCGCGCCGCCACAGACAAGACAAAACCGACGCACGAACGTGGATAGCTAACTGGCTTTTGGCCACTAAAGTACAAAGCTGGAGCTGGGAGCTGGAGTTGCAGCTGCTTGCTGCTTTTTCTGCTGCTGCTGCTGCTGCTGCTTCTGATGCTGATGCTGATGCTGGTGCTGATGCTGAGGCTGAGCTGTTGCTGGTCCGCTCGAGTGTCTCTTTGGCTTGAGCTCTTGAATGTGACTGTTTGCAGAGGGGAACGCTTGTCTACTATTTGGCTTGCGCTTGCTGCCAACAAATATTGTTCGAGCCGCGCTCAAGTGCCGACGCCGGCAGAGCCGTCGACGCTGCCAGCGGCAGCAGCAACTCCTACTCGTTCTCCCTCGCGCTCACATGGCCTGCCATAGCCGGCTATCTCGCACACACACACACCACCAAACCCGACCCGGCCAATGGGGAGCGACGACTCTCTTACGCACACAGTGGCAGGGCGGCGCATGCGCATTGGCCAAGCGGCTCTTGTATCAACAGAGCAGCAGCAGCGGCAGCAGCAGCAGCAGTCGTCGTTCCGGTTGCCAGGCAACTGTGCGTATGTGTGTTTCTGTCGAGCAGGGGGCGTGGCCAACGGAAACGCCCTCGCAGCTGGGACTCACACACACACACGCATACAGCCATGGAGAGACAGGAAAGCTGAGCGACGCCATGTTACAGTTAACGATTTTCCCTAATGCGATCAATAATCGCTGGCTCTCTCTCTCTCTCTCTCACACTCTCTGGCTCTTCTGCTTACCAAAAATATAAAAAACTGCAAAAAAAAAATAGAAGCAGAAAAAAAAAAGAAAACAAAGTCTGGAGACGCGCTCTGTTTTGGCAGAGAACCCGGCTGCCTTCCATTCTTTCTGCTTCTGCTACAGTCATTCCTTGGCTCCCCAAAGAAGACATTAATAATGTGTGTGTGCATGTGTGTGTGAGTGTGTTTTTTCGTACCGCTCGCCTTTTTTTGAGGTTAAGGTACGCCAATGTCACTCTCATTCATTCCCGTCCGTCCGCATTCGCATTCGTGGCGAGGCCTCGCGACCGGCAACAGCAGCGCAGCGTTTTCCTTTTTTGGCAAGTCATTGCGAAAGTGACCCAGTTCTGCGGCCTCAGCATCCTCATAGCCATCCATATCCATCATCTCATCTCATCTCCCTTGTATCAGCATCCTTCCAGGTAGCAGGACAACGCGTTCATTGATGCCGGCGAGCGGAGCCAGCGCGTGCTGGCGTCCTCCACTTCCTGGTAGGAACACCCAGACCTTTATGGCCACGGATAAAACGCATTTTAATTTCGGCCATAAACCAGACTCGGAACGAGACCAAATCGTTTGCCTTTCATTCAGTGCATATTCCGCTTAACCCTTTCTCCTCAGCCAAGTGTTGTGTCTGTGACAGTGTCTCCGTGTGTGTGTTGTGTGTCTGCTGTGTGTGTGTGTGTGAGCCAAACTCATTATTGCAGCCATAAACCGGCAATTGTCTCAATGTTTCTCAATGAAAGTTCTTACTCAATCGATATATGTATATTGCTTTACCTGAGTATTCGGAAATGCATGGAATTTCCGTATTAGATGAAGTTCAGTTTTCTGTAAAGTCTAATATTTGTTTGATCGAAGCATCGATCTTCTGTGGTCTTATGGTCATAAAAGTGATCCTGATACTGATCTCTTGAAACAAAACTTGTTCATGAAACCCTACAGAACAATTCAGAAATGAATTTATTATGGAATTTTAAATAATATATAATCTAATTCTTATTTTATATTATTAAAATCAATCTTATCAGATAACATTAAATTTTCTCTTGTTGTTGCTGTTCTTTAATTACTGTTTTAATTAAGATCGAACTCAAATGCAAGTGAAGGAGTCATTTCCGACCCTATAAATCATATATATTCTTGATCAGCATCAAAAACCAAGTCGATCTATGTCTGTGCAAAATTTAATTTGTTCAAAATTTTGAAAATGTTATAAGGGGTTGTTACATCGTTAAAATTCTCAAAAATTTGTCAAAATTTGTCATATTTTAAAATGTAAAGTAAAGTATGCAGATTTAAAAGCCTAACAAAAATTTGCATAGGACAGCTTTCCGTTTTATAATTAATGATTTTTTGGCTTAGTTATGAGATTTTTAAGCATTTATTTTTTTAAACAAATTGTCATATAAAAATATAAGTATTATTGACTCGAAAAATGGTATTATAGCTTAAGGCAAAAGCTTCAAACTACATGAACTACATTCTTGAACAGCATCAAGAGGCGAGTTGATCTAGCTAAGTCCGACAAAAATTTCCTTTTTCAAAATTTTCAATATTTTTTAAGGGGTTACATCGTTTAAAAATTGGCAAAAATTTTGAATTTTTTAAATTTTTAATTTAATATACACATTTGTAAACCTGATAAAAACTAACCCACGAAGGCCTTGCGATTAGAAATTAAATATTTTTTTACTGAGTAGGGTCTTTGCTGCAAAGGATTAGGTATTAATATTAGTTACTGGCGAAAATCCCTTTATAATATGTTAAGTATTGTTAAATACAAATATCAGTAATATCCCACTCATCACTTGTTTATTATTTAATCTAATCCTAATATCCCGATCAGCAAACCAGAAAACAGTTTGTTTATGTGCACAGCAAGCAGAGCAGAGAATTCACATTCACCGCTCGGATATATCTATATCTCATCATCATAATCATTACACACCAAATATCGCTGGTGTCTGAACACACATATGGACTTAAATCTTTATGTGCACTTCTAATAACCGTAATGTGCTTAAATATTTAATATTTTTATTGTATTTCACAGGCAATTCAAGTGGCTTTGGCTCATTAATGTTTGCCATCGCAGCAGTCGTACGGCCGAATGTGTACTTTTTTTGGCGTAGACTCTCCGCAAATAGTAATGCCAGCAGTCCAAAAATGTGTATTTATTTACCTTTTAGTCATTTATCTATTTATTTATTTGCTTTAAAAGCGCGCCACTGTGGGTCGGATTTGATACAGTGCCACTCGCAGTCGCACTCGTACAGTGGGGCCCCGTTCGGTTGCACTCGGCAATCGAGCGGGTCTAAGCCATGCTCAAACTTTTTAATTAGTTTCAATTGTTGGGGCCCGAGCCCCCTCCGCCACCGGAGTGGAGGATATTTATGGAAAATATTTGCCTTTCTGCTTTTTTCCCGCCGTTGTTTTGATTTTGTTGTCGGCGGTGGAGCTGTTGATATTGCTTTAAAACGCTGCGCTTTCTGTTTGTTTTAAGCATTTGTGTGACGCATGCGCCGTGTGGCAGTGACTTTACAAAAATATATATACATTCCCCATCTATACATATATATCTATCAAAGCATTTGACCAACATTTCTCAGCTGGACGTATCTGTGACTGTATCTGTATCTATATCGGTATCGGTGTATTGCCATAATATGTATAATATTTATTTTTATTGTTATTATTTGTTACTGTTGATTTATTTGTTTGTACAACATTTTCACACAAATTAAAATACCCGGCCACGTCGGTCATCAATGTCGTTTAAATTGTTTTTATTTGCTTTATTTGCTTTTGTGTTTTTTTGGCTTAACCCAATTATCGGGGCTTATTAGTGATTATTTAATTTGCCACAACAGCAGATGATCGCAATGTTCTAATATGCGAAGTAAACAAAAGTCGAGAGATCTTGCAGCCTCTTAGGAAATATTCTTTGAAATAATAAAAAAAAGAATTGCATATTTTGTAGAATATTTTAAGATAAAAGGTAATAACTTATAAAAGGGGGGACTATATGAACTATATAATTTAGTCAGGGTCTAATGGAATTTTTTTGTTTATTTTTTGTGAATCTCTTTCAGTAGTAAACACACGTAGACAAACTGGTTTTGTTTAGCAGTTAAATGTGGTTTCGGCTCTTTTTAACTTATTAGTATTAATATACTTTGCAGAGTATTGATCAGCATTAAAAGGAGAATCAATCTAGGCATGTCTGAGAACAAAATATAGTTTTTAAAATTTTTTCAAATTCTAAAATTTGATTTGAAATTGTTAAAAATCGACAAAAATTTTAATTTTTTTAAATTTTAAATTGAGTATGCAGATTTATTACCCCAATAAAAACTAGCATACGAATGGTTTCTGAATTGAAATAAGTTAATATTTGGCTTAATTATGAGTTTTTTAAACTTTGATTTATCAAAAAATTGGCCATATAAAAATAATTATAAATGTCCATTGAAATAATGCGAATATTTTAAGTTAGTTATGATCGATTATCGAGTCAAATTCAATTGGAAACTGCAACTGAATGAAGGCTTTTCCTTCAAGAATATAAATAATATTTAAACCAGAGCATTAACCTAATATAAAAATATTCAAAAGTATGATAAAAACTGGCACCTTAATAATCCTTTAAAAATCACACTAAATAGTTATAGTTAGTACTTAAAGAATTAATTAATCTAAAATCTGATTACGTAACATGGACATCCTGTTTGCAGAACTTTATTGAGTCTCGGCTGCTTTAGGTGTATCTCCTAGATACTTTTTGCATAGCTCTACGTATCGGTGGTATTCGTATCTGCGGCTGCGTGTGTATCTAGGTCTTTGTATTGCGTGTGCCGTAATGAGCGTGGCCATAAAAGCGTCTTTTGTTTTACGACCGCATTGCGCGCGTGTTTACCATAGAAAACAATGCCAATTTTATGACTGCCTGCCCCTGCGACGAGGAGCCGCATCCCGGTCCAGTCCGGCGTCCGATATCCCATGAAGCATACGTATATACCACATATACTCGTACCTTGTGGAATGGTGCAAAGGTGACACCGAAACTGGAGCAGTCGCTGCATTAATTAGAACGCTCTGGACAGGGACAGGGATGCGAATAGGGACAGGGACAGGGACAGGGATACGGATGATAGTACTTTCTTCGGGGTCATAAAATCCCACTGGACTGGACCATACCGACGGCGACGACGACGGCGGCGGCAGTGGCGGCTCTTATCTAAATTAGGATGTTGCTTGTTTGCGGCTGTGTCTGCGCATCGCCTGCACTATTTGCGTAGGTGTTTCATTTCC